GTTTTATTTTCTTCTTCCAATTCGGAGTATCTTAGGTGGGCCGATTGGGCCTAGCAGACATCATGTCAGTGTGAATTATCCAGTTGGGGGCTCTCCTATTGTGGGCCCCCATCATCCTCATCAGCAGCAACATGTGCCTTTGCCGCCGGCTGTGGGTTATGGTGGTGGGGTAGGGAAAAAGGGTTTGTTAAGAGGGAGGGAGTATTATGAGGAGGAGTATGATGACGATGACGGCGGGGAAGATGGTTCTGGAGCTAAGAAGATGAGGAGAGGGGATGGCATTGAGGGTGGTGGTGGTTATGGGTATGGTTCCGGTGGGAAGGCTACTATTTCTGGGCATTTAGGTAAGTAGTTTTATCAGTTTCATGGTGTTTATTTTCAATAAAAATACGTTCTTGATTGTTAATTTATCAACTTAGACGATATATATATATATATGAATGCTTTATTTGTTAACTATGATTGAGAATTGCCACAAAGGATTTGTGTTGCTTGTGAAGGATTAACATGTTAAAGACTCATCTTTATTGGATGTAAGTAGCTAGTAACTCATCTTTATTGGCTCTATAAGTGGCTATTTGAGAATTTCTGCTGTTAGGTGAACTGTGTTTCCCGAGAAGAGATTTTGTGTATAGGAGGTGTTTTTGTTTGTTGAATTACTATAGTCTTATTGATTAGATGCAGAAGAGATTTTCTTTCAGTCTATATGGTGATGGTTAGTTCTATGGATTTAGTTACTGCAGATGGAGTTTTAATGTATGTAAATATACTCAATTTTTAGAGTAGACCCTTGGTAATAGTACCCGGAGTGGAGCAAAGAGCTGTAGGGATTAGGTTTTAGACTTTTTTTGTGCTTACAGATGAAATAGACAGACTTATAAGTTTGCTGGTGTTATTAATGACTTTGTTCATGAAATTTGGTCTTTAGTGTTGTGAGTACGCTAGTGGAATTATGTGATCATGATAGGGAAAGCAACTTGATAGGATTGGTATAACGCGTATGAAAATCCATTATATCCTACGCTATTCAGGCTTTTTCAGGAATCAAAGCTCCATCAATGATCATATACCGTAAAAGACATTTTTCTCTTTGCCTTCTATTTCAAAGAACCTCCCTGCTAACTGGTTTTGATTTTGTGTTATTTCTTATTTTCTTTTTTGATATGTTAGACTCCAACCCCCTGAACCCTCCCATCCAGTGATAACCCTTTGTCCAAAAGTCAACAGTAGCACTTGCTCCACTCTGCCCCCTTGTCAACTTGAACATACCAATTCTTGGTTGGGTCATCTTCACTTGTCTGATTTAAGTGTTTTATTGGGGTGAAAGTTACCAAATATATTCCCTATCATGAGTGAAATCTTAGTTTCTCAGTTTATGAACTTAATTCCATCTCTATTGGCTTTGATTGCACCCAATGGAGTGGCCTAACGGTCAATAAAGTGGGTGCATACATTGGAGATCAAGGCTCAAATCTCAACAAAGACAAAAAACACTATGGTTTTTTTTTATTGGTCGAGGTGTGTGCAAGTTAGCCCGTACACCACCATAGGGGGAAATTTTTTTATTGGTTTTCAAAAGCTCTCCTTTCTAGCATATGGGTTTTGCATCATAACTTATATCAAATCCAGGTTTGAGGTTTCTTCTTTCCTGTTGACCTGATATTTGAACTCGGAAACTCAGAATCCTCAACCATCTTAAATCTTATATATATACTTAATAGAAGATTGCAGCAAGGTTGGCTCAGAATTTGTATATTTGAAAAGCAGCATCTTACTTAGAACTCCAATCTGATTTACCAAAACTAAATGAACCTCCCGTTCAGTTTAGAAAAATAAAATACTTGGAACGTTCTGCCAAATTATGTCACCATGTAGACCTCCCTGATGTCAACCTCTGTCACTGAGTTTTTTTGTATCAACTTCTATTTTCGATTCAACTCTCGTAATATTTTTTGTTTAAAGGCTGTCTTTAGCATCCAGATGAGTAGACGTCATGCCGCCCCTTTCATCTCTATCTGTGCCCGCTTACGACCCTCTCCCTCGCCCCTAGCCCTGTCAGCTCCTCCTCACATCCCATCCTTTGCTATGAGGCATTAAACTTCTAAGGACACTTGACATGCACTCACTATCATTATAGCTAATATGTATGGATAAATATACCGCCATAACAAAAAGAACAATGAATAGTTGAAACATTTAATGCTATATGAGGATGCAATATAGGATGAGCACTTGGAAAGTTTGAATTAATAAGAGGAAGCAATCTATTTCCTTGAATTACACGATCTGATAATAGTATTCATGTAACTCTTTTCTTTATTGTTCGAGAAAGCTCATTCTGGATGGGCTGTTCCTTCTATCATTCTTTGGAGAGGAGTCGGTTTTCATGATAATGCAAAGCTAACCCTAGAAATCGGATATTACTCAGCTGTCTTTACTCAGATATTTCTTATCAAAGCAGGAGATTTGTTTCAGGCGATGTCAAACCAAAAGCTATTTCCATTCTATTTTATACAGTTGTCCTCTGCTAGATTTTCATGCTTCTATGATTTTCTTAGTAGATAAATGTAGATGTAAAGCTTATACCCATTAAATGGAACTTAGTATCTGAATATGGAACTTGTTTGGCCAAAAACTTCTTGCAGATAAGAAGATTGAGGGAAGATCACGTGTTGACCGAGATGCTGACAATCAACAGCTCATGCAGTTAGAAGAAAAGGATGTTGTATCATCTGTGGCAAATGTGCTTTCGGACCTCTGTGGGCCGGGAGAATGGATGCCAATGGAGAAGCTTCATACTGAGGTAACTTCAATATTATACATCTTTTGTCACAGAAATGCCAATTTGTTATTAAGTGAAGACTATATTGTTTGTTTGCACTTTGATTCTGTCAAGAGGTGGAACTCTTCCGCCTCTAATGGATGTAATGACATCATATTCGATAGGGGTGCGGATTTATAGGTCGGATTCTTCATCACATAAATTTAGGATTCGAGAGTATGTGGAGGTCGAATATTAAGGTTGTAGGTTAGGAGGAAGTTGCTAATATTTCTACGACGCACCCGAGTAGGACTAGACAGTTAGGATTTAGTTTTAGGATGCTAGTGGTTATCTACTGATGCATGGCTTTATCTACTGGTTACTATTGTACTTTCCATCTATTACGTATTTTCTATATTGCTGTTATTTTATTATGACTCTATTGATGGTACTAATATATCATATCTTGTCGTCTTTTTGAGCTGAGGGTCTCCTGGAAACAATCTCTCTGCCCTCGGGGTAAAGGTAAGGTCTGCGTACAAGAGATTCAGCATAGGTACCACCTCCTCAACCTGCAAGCCCTTTCTACAAATAGGGTTGAAAATGATGTTTTCCCACTCACAAGTAACATCTCTATCCATCAAAATTATATTAGCAGGAAGCTCAATCTCAAAGGCCATTATCACGGTCAAAAGTAGATTCTGTTTCCCGTGAATCCCTTCCCTTTCTAAAGCAGCAATATTTGCAAAAATGTTGAAACCTTTTCTGATTCCCCTGTACATGGTGCAATCATCAAGACCATTCTCCTGAATCCCGACCACCATTGATAGAACTACACACCAAGTCTTCATATATTGACCTTACTCCATATTCCCTACTTGATTATTAAGCTGTTAAAGCCATTTACCTAATTGGGCTTTGATTAAACACATATGAAGATCTTATACCTAGTCAAGAGTCTGACGATTAATAATGTTATGGTTTCTTTGCGTGTTAGGCATGCAGTGGTGAACTTCTGGTACAGCTTTTTATTTGGAAAAGAAAAGAGCAGATTTATAGTTGTATGCTTTCCCTCATTCTTTATAACCTTGACGAGGTTTTGCTTAATTATGGTTGAAGTTGCTGTTCTACTTTGTTGACAATTTGATTGCATTTTGTCTTCTCTCTAAACAGATCCCATAGAGTATTATATTTTGTCTTTCCATCATGTATCAAATATCATTTCCTGCTTCATGTTCATGGTAGTTGTGGGAAATTTTTGCTCCTGCTCAGCTTTTTGTTAGACTGTAGATTTTTTAAGTTAGAGTTGGATTTTTGGCTAATGACAAGCTTATGCTTTTGCAGTTGGTGGAACACTTTGGCAATACCTGGCATCATAGTCGTGTGAGGAGATACTTAACATCTGAGGACTATCCTAGCCCTGAAGCCAAATCAAAGCCATGGTATGGATTGCTGATGCTTTTAAGAAAATACCCGGAGCATTTTGTCATCAATACGCGGTCCAAGGGACGGGTGACTTTGGAGTTTGTTTCTCTTGTCTCGCTGCTTTCATGAGAGCTTATAAGAATTTTAATCATTTAGTTGTAATTTAGCTTTAAGTAGGGTGTGAAATATGGGTCCTGAAACATCGCTGTGAATTTCGATACTGGAGATCAAATTTGTCGATGACATGTACTTGTGGTTACTGCTGTTTTTAGGTCTAATTTACTGATGCAACACACTTCTTGTTGTAAGCACGTAATTTTTGACACGCACAACTTTTAAAAGTAGTATTTTAATTTTTTTTTTACTTATTTTCATTTTTAATAGGATTTCAGTCAACTTTTAATTTTAATTTTCTAACATAAGTTTAATAATACAAAAATAGTTTTATGATATTTCTTCTCTTATTATATATCTTTTTATTTATTTAAGCTTATTAGTATTTTATAATGATAATATTTTAATTTTTACCATTACTGTAACATAGTATTCTATACATTTTTTAACATTTGAAAAGACACATTCATTTTAATATATAGTTCACTTTAATAGTTTATTCTTATTAACTAAGATTAATTAATATATTTTGGTAGTATTTTTATTTTTATTTTTGTTCAATGAGAAAGAATTGAATTTGAACCAATTGGGAACTCGTTTTCGGATTTTAGTGGCCTAGCAAGATAAAGGTCCATTCTTCCCAATCTCTTTTAGCTCAAATCCTTTTCTCACCCATCAAACCCCTCCCTTAATCGTAGCCATTGATCTATTTTGATCCAATGGCCCATGTCAATTCTCCTAACCACATAAAATTTTAACCTACCTCAAACCCTAAATCCATCTTCGAACCTAGCGACCCTCCTCCAATTCCAGCCGCCGACCTCACAATTGACCAAGCCTTCAGCGAACTTTAGCCGCCACTCCAAACAGAAACGAAAAATAGGGAGAGCTTCAGCCGCAGATCACGCAAAAAAGAGGGACTCTGACTCTTTCCTCTTCTTCCTCGCGAAAAGCAGCCCCAAACACCCAACTCTCCAGACCCAACCACAAACACACACACACACACACACACACACAATGGGACAGGCAGAGAGTAAAGAACGGGAAAGGGGGGATAGAGATTGAGAGGGATTAACTTTTTTTTATAGATGGAGTCCAAGAAACGGAGAGGAGTTTAGACAGAGAAATTGGGTTGAAAAGCTAGATTTTCTGAAAAAGGTTTTGGGTTCAATCCTTGGCTTCGAAATTTGGAGAAGTTGTCCAAACTATGTTCAAAGTTTCAGTTCTCTTTTGGATTTCAAAAGAAGAGAAATACACAAAAAGACGTCTCTATTTTAGGATGAGTTAGATTTCAGATTGGCTTTCAGTAAATATGCAAAAATATTTAGTTTCTTCTTTTAATTTTTAATTTCAAAGTAAGAGTTAGTGTTGGAGTTTAAGGAGAAGAAATACCAAAAATATATCTTAGTTTCTTCCCCTTTCGTTTTCGGTTTCAAACCAAGAATTGCGATCAAGATTGAAGTCTATTTGAGTTCGTTTAGTCGAGCTGTCGTTCGAGGTTGAAAGTCGCAGTTTCCCTTGGCGTTTTCATTCCTGGTCTGTCGAGGTCATCAAAAGGTCCATCTCTTCTCCTCTCTTTCATTAATCCATAGATATACTTGTTTCCGTAAGTTTTAACCTGCTATGATTTTAATTTTGGTTAGCTTCACTATTACTTTGTTTAATTTATTTTTTGAATGGTTGAATTAATCTGTTATGATTTTGATCTTGGTTAGCTTCACTGAATTATGTTTTGTAAGATCTGTTTTATACATTTGAGAATGAAGACATGAAAGAATTTTGAATGGAAATGGCGATACTTTGAAGGGTTGGGTCGGGGAAATAATCTATGAAAATCGAAACTGGCTCTTGGTCATAAACTGTGAATCAAATTTAATATCATTTTATTTTATTCTTATTATTTTTATTCTCTAGGAGTATGTTTAGGCTGTTATCACTTGGGTAGGCAAGCTTTAGGATTTTGTTTGAGTTTTGAGATAAGAGGTTATTCCCTTTAGTTTATTATTTTATCCGGAGAATGTCCCGTAGAATATATATATATATATAGTGAATGTAATTGGAGGCCATGACAGGCATCATGGAATGAGCGTAGTGTAGACAATTAGTATTTTCTTCTTATTTTTTTTCTTTTATGTAGGAGGGGACAACCTCGAGCCTCTTGTATATTTATCTTGATTTTGTGTGCTTTTGCCTCAATTAGAGTATTCCTAAAAGCAGATTTGATCATATATGCAACCGTACTAGTTACGGGACTCGAGGAATGACTAATACCTTCTCCCCGAGTCAAATAAACCCCCTTATCTAGAATCTCTGGTGCAGTCAGTTTTAGAGTCAAACATGTTTTGAAGGAAAACTATTTTTAAAACGGTAACCTGGCACACTGAAACCAAATGTCATGTGGCGACTCTAAAAAATTCTTCGAAACGCAATCTTTTGTCACTTTGAATTTGAAAATCCTTTTGAGCTTCAGAAAATCACTTTTTATTATTTTAAAGGGGTTAGTGAAGTAAAAAGGGGGGGGGAAGTGACAACTTTGGCGACTCTGCTGGGGAGTTGCAGGTCCGAGCTGATACTTGATCTTGTTGGCTTTTTAGGATATTCGGTTGAGGTGTTTGTTTTTTTTTTATTTTCTTTGTTTGGTTTGTTTGTTTTTTTTCCTGTTTTTGTTGTTTATTTGTTTATCGCTTTTCCTTATATGTTTACTGCTTTATAACTGTCATCATTTGCACAAACATGGGTCTTCTTTCTGTACAAGTCTTCCGGAGTACATTTGAGTGTACACAGCCTTTTCGTGAGTCACCCGTGTCTTTAGGGGGTGGCGTGGGAGTAGGGCTGCTTATCGAGCGGATTGAGCGGTTATTTACTGTTAATAGTTTGGCTTATCGGTTATCGACTTTTAAATGTATTAATGCGCTAGCCATCCGATAAGATATCGGGCGGATTGGTATCGATTTAGCTCTTATTGGGCGGTTATTGGGTAATTTATTGGCCTAATTCAATATACACACGAAGCACTTTTATATATGACTTTTAAGAATATATTGTGTTGTTATAGCACTTAAGCAGAAGCCTTTCCATGCACTTCATATGTTGAATTTTCGTTTTATACCACTGTGTCTCAACTTAGTTCTGCTTCTTTTAGATGCATATAAATTTATAAATTAAGCAGTTACTAATATGAATATTGTACCTATATAACTTTCCATGTCGGTTTTCACTTTGTCATTTACCATAAATTTGACATTGAACTTTACGCAATGAACTCTTTGGCAGAGTAGGGGGTGTCCACTTACTGGAGGCACCAGTGCTTCATCCGGTAACTACTTTGTAAAACACAAATTTACTAATTGCGTTATATATGAACTTTTTGCCTTTTGTAAAGTAATTAACAAGGATTATGTTACATATTTTCATAATTCTGATTATTTAGGAATTAGGCGTTAGAAATTAGAGATAGAGTACCGGAAGAGTGGAAGACTGAAGTGGAAGGGTTTTTGATATTTAATATATATATATATATATATATTCTTAACGGGTTAACGGATTATCCGTTAAGAAAATTGAATAATCCACCCCTAAACCGATAAGTCGTAAATGAAAAAATTTCAATCCGTTCCCCTTTCGTTAAACCGTTAACCTGATACCAACAAGCCATTAAGCTTCGATTTCGGTTCGGTTTTCGGTTTCGGTTTGGTTTTGAACACCCCTACGTGGGAGCGTGAAGTGGGCAGACAGCTAGAGCAGCCGCCATTGACCACGTGCCGCCCCGAATTGCATTGTCTAATGAACCCCAAATTTAGGTCAGTCTTTAGGTTATTCTTATTTGCATCATATCATTTAGACCTTGCAGGGCTCGGTCCGAGGTATCGTGTCCCTTTGTATGAGGCCTATCCAAATTACGTCAAAGCGAACCCGTGACCCAAAAAGACATTTAATCATCCCTATGTGTTACATGCTGCATTCTTTAAAGGGAAAAAGATCATTTGTCAGACCAATGTTTGTTGGGTACGAATGAGAAGAAAAGAGGGTCAAGTATAAAAATGAAGCAAGTAGGGCCCATTTTGTTTTTCTTTCACAATTTTTTCAAAAAAAAATGAAAAATTAAAGAAAATTTCCAAAAAGATTTTACATCTTCACACCATTTTTACAAAAAAAATTAATAAAGAAGCAACTCATTTTTCAAATATAATTGACCATTTTATAAGTCTTTTCAATTTTGGCCAATCTTCCCGAACTACGCAAACCTGATTCTCGTCTTTCGGGGGAAATACATAGGCAGCTCATATAGGGTCCGATCTTCCTAGTAAGTCTTAAGTTCTTGGCTTCGGGTGTCGTTGCCAAATCTTGCATGTCTAGCCGCATTTGGCCACATTGGTCATTTTGCAAAATAGGGATATTTTCTCAAAGTGGCTTGTTATCCCATGTCTTAGAGCCATAAGTCCACAACAAGGTGTCCACTCAGTTTTAAGGTCCATCCCTATTGAATTTGCATGTCTAGCCACTTTTGGCCACATCGGTCATGCTTGCAAAATGGGGGTCATTTTCGTGAAAGTGGTTCAGTAACTCATGTCATAGAATCTTGAGTCCTAAACTAGGTATAATATTACTTTAAGGCTCGTCCTTGTTGAATATGCATCTCTAGTCGCGTTTGGCCTTATCGGCCATTTTTGTGAAATGGGTCATTTTTGCGAATTAATTTATAGGGCCATAATTATTGGCAGTTTGAAGCCATATAAGCCTTAGTGAGGTATTTCTATATCTTTGAGGTCACCTTTGTTGAGTTTGCACTAATATCCACCCTTGGCCACGTAAGCCATTTTGCAAAAATAGCCCGATCATGTCTTGCATGTGTCTAATAGGAGGTGTTGTGGTCTCACATAGTGTCTCGAGTCACTAATCTATTTGGTTTTATTTTTTTCATTCAGGTATGGATTCATTTACCAGAGCTCGAACATGACAGATACCCGAGGACCATCGCATTTGGGAGCTTGTTTGAGGAAACTTTTCGTGTTTGGAGTCTACTTTTGTGGTGTTTTTCTTTTTACTTTCTAGTCTTGTCTAGTAGTATTCTTGCTTTTAGTTGGTGTCAGATTTTGTCGTAGTATAGTTGAGATTGTCGAGTCTCTCGTTATTCCTGTTTTGTATTTGAAAATTAAAAAAAAAGTTATAAATGAAAAATCCAAAAAGATTTTGTTTTTAGTTTATTTTGTTCATTACTTTTCCAGAACTACGCTTGGTCTGATTCATGTGGAACATGATACGTAGACAACCTACATTGGGTTCGATCGAATCATTTTTAAAATTAAAACAAAAAAGAATGAAGTTGTGGGATGTAAGAAATGAGAGGAAAGGAAAGAGTAATAATCAGAAAGAAAAAGAGAGGAAAGAAAATAAAAAATCAAGGAATGCTAAAAAGGAAAATAAAGAGGAAAAGGGCAAGGAGAGTAAAATTGGGATGATGCCAAGATGACTTTCGTATCCTCGAAGTCATTTTAGAATCGATAATTGTGATTAGGTGCATTGCATATAATATGATATTATTTGCTATTAAATTCCCTAACGCTAACGCGATGACTTCATTTTGTTCTTCTTTGTTATTTTCATTACAGCAGAATGGTGGTTGGTTTGCGGTTCTTAAACTGGTAACTCTTCCCTACAACATAAAGTCGAAAAGCAATGGCAGAAGACAACGGAATTGAGTTGGTTGATATTGGTGCCCAAAAGCAATTGGTTGAACGAGAAACTTGGTTGGTTGAAGAGGTAAGGATGTTAAGACAACACATGGTGGACATGTATCAGTCTTGGATGACTGGTAAGGCACCACCCCCGCCACCACCTAGCTTCCTAGATGCTACCACACCCAAGCTCCGGTTGTAGTGTCAGATGATCCACCATATTCTCCAGATTTCCCTGCTTATCATAACTTTCTTAACCTCTCTAGTAACTCCATCTGAGGGGTTATTACAGTGAATGAGAAGTGTTGGTAGGAAAGATGAGTTGTTGATGGCGTATTTCAGTGAGAGCTTGAGTGGGACAACCTTAGAATGGTATACTCGTCAAAATATCAGTAAGTGATATGTATAAGATGACATGGCTCAAAATTTTGTTCGACACTCAGTACAATATAGACATTATCCCAGACCGCTCCTCCCTATCTAAGATGGAAAAGAAACCCGAGGAAAGTTTTTAGGGAGTTTGGGCTCAGATGGAGGGAACAAGCTGCTCGGGTCAGTCCCCCGATTGATGAAGAAGAGATGGTTAAGCTTTTCCTACAAGCTTAGGGACCCACCTACTTCAGTTATTTGATCCCAGTTTTACGTAAACCTTTCAATGATGTAGTAAAAATGGGGGAGATGGTAGAAGAAGGAATCAAGTCAGGAAAAATCATGAGCTATTCTGCATTGAAAGATACTGCGAAAGACATTCAGAACATCTTAGTAAATTTTGGGGGGAAGAAAGAGAAATAGAAAGACGTTGTTGAGCCCCAAAAACAACAAGATCCAGTGGGCATTCTTACTCAACGCTTTCAGCCTCAATATCGACTCCATGAATATCCTCGTACTCCAGATAATCCTCCCCAATGCTATTTCTCTCCAAAGAATCCCCAAAGTTATACATCACCTTCCTAGTACTCTGTCCATAATGCACCACCATATGCTCCATCTCATCAAGACCCGCAATGGCCTGTACCACTTCCATAAATTCTTACCCACCTCTACAAGCATATCAACTACCTACCCGCAAGAGGTTCCAACCGAGGTCCGCGTACAAAAGGAAAAGTCTTCACTCCTATTGGAGAATCATATGCTAGTTTGTTCCAAAAGTTGAGGCAATCAGACATGTTGAAGCCGATTCAGATAAAAATATCGAACCCACCTCCAAAGAATTTTAATTATTCTCAAAGGTGCGCATATTGTTCTAATGCCACAGGGCATAGCATAGAAGGATGTTGGAATTTGAAAAGAGCAGTCCAGAAACTTATTGATGCAGGTGATATTATCATGCAAAATCCAGATGCGACGAATACTAGCCAACGTTCATTGCTTGTTTATCATGAGACACATATGGTGGGCATGATTTGTGTTGAAAAGGAATATGAGAACTCTTCTGAGTTCCATGGAGGGACACTTGTCGCAAAGTTTTCAGCGCTATCAGTCTCGATTCCAGAAGTTGATCTTAACAATGAGTTGGCAAAAGGGACCCAAAAACTATTTGCTAAGGTCGATGTGATGGAGACTTGCGAAGGTCCTGGTAATGTCGATGTGCGACTTAGTGGCTAAGATGTCGAGCTTAGTAATTGGAAAGACATTCATTCTTTGCTAGCTAGGGAGGAGTTTTGGTGGTTTATTTTATTATCATTTTTGTTGTCCGGATTATTTCAGGGTTTAAATCCGGATATTGTCTTGTGGCTCAAATCCTTCTTTCTTTTATTTTGCCTAGTTCGTTTAGTCGTAATAACTCGTCTAGTGTTATCTAGAATTGTTCCAGGGTTGTAACCGAAGTTTATTTTTCTTGTTTTGTTTTTCAAACTCCTTCACCATCTGTCTAATGCAATCTCCTGTTTTCTATTATTTCTAGTCAGTTTTTGTTTAGTTCTCTTTTCCTTTTTACAGTTCTTTTCACTGTAACTCTAGTGACATGACATGCACGTGAAATTCTTATTCTGGTCTTAAAAGTTAGTCTAATCATGAAACAATGAAACGAGGTTTGAACATGACAGGGACATTTGGAGGAAATAAATAAAGATTTGGACATTTTGTGATTATTTAAAGCCCGAATTGTGTGAAACTGGGCCAAATATTTTGTGAAGTTAATAGGACGACAAGAATTTGTTACAAGAGAGCGCTTCCCAGACAATTTGAAGCAAGCAACTTTGAGTTTAAGTACATCTCAAGTTACAAGATAAAGCCAAGGGAGTTTGTCCCAAACTGACAGAGGACATCCATTGTGAAGAAGAAATCACCCAACAATAGCTCTGTACTTGACAAGGCACTAAATAAAAGGTGGAAGGCATATCTGTGATATCGATGTCGATGCTGCAAAAGAAATGTTATGCATGATCTTCATTTTTCATCTTCAAGTTGCATGTGTTATACTTGGCATTTTCAGAGATTGGGAGGTCCTCTTTCAGCTATCCAAACACTTTATACCCTTCGGTACCCTTTTGAGCCTCTGTTGATTTCTTTGACCTCCCCTCTTTCGAAATTAAGTTAGAGTCATTTTTAAAAAAAATCATGTTCCCATAAGGTTTGTTTTAGAAGGTTTACCACAAAAGAAAAATAGAAAAAAATGAAAAGAAAAGCAAAAGAGATAAAAGAAGTCAAAAAGAAAAAAAGACGAAAAAGAAAAAAAGAAGAAAAATAAAAAATAGCAAAAACAAATAATATTCCTTTGAACTATGTTCAACCTGATTCTTGTCACCACAAGATACGTAGGCTGCCTTACGGTTCGGTCGCACCAAATAAAATATTTCATAACCCCACGAAGTCAAGAGTGGGGCAATGTTTCTTAGAAATTCCATCTAAAAATACAGAATCAAATTCTCTTGTTTTAGAAAATGGGGTAGAGTTTTAAATTAGATTCCAAAAGTTGTAAATAAATTAACCTTGTTGTCTTAGTTATTTTGAGCCTTTATGATATCCTTTCTTTCTAACCCTGTCCAAAAGCCACATTACAATCCAAAAAAGACTTCCAGATAATCTTTGAAAGTACTGAGTTAGACATGCCAGGAGTATATGATATTTCTACCATGGTTAATGCCTTGTCATCTGCAGAATCAGAGGAAAAAAGAAGAAAAGAACAAAATAAGAGAGTCTTAATGGTGAAAACGCTCATGGGCACCATAAGGCGACGGTGAGTTGAGAGAAAGAACAAGGAGAGTCTTGATGTTGAAAATATTTTCGGGCACTACAAGTCGAATAAGGATCGTGAATCAGATAGGATAGGTGGAGCATTGAAGCCTAGTCTCACAGCTTGGAGGTATAACAAGAGTTGAACATTAGACTTACTTGACAAATTAGGCCACTTAATCCAAAAATGCATGTCATGGTCATTAGAGTTGATATCCACATTTGATAAGTTCCACTTCGTAATTTTCTTGTTAGATATCATCTCTTTCCATTGTCCCCTTACTAGGCTCATCTTGCTTTGTTTAAGTCCACTTTTTGAGTCTGTTTGGTCAGAACAAGTGAGAAATGACTTCAAAATTTGCTATCAGCTTTCCAATAAAGTGAAGTCTGACTAGCACATCAAAGTGGCATAAGTTAGAGAAGAGTAGTATGCGAACTGAGTTAGTAACAATTGACGTGCTTTGGAATTCATGCAAAATGCAAAGGTTCGGTAAATGTCACACAATGCAACAGATAGAGCGTATTGGGCTTAAACGGATCAAAAATGTTTTCTATGATAAGGGTTGACAGAAAAGTGGTTAGCCAATAACAAGCAAGATCTTCCAAGTTGAAATCAAAGTTATCATGGCAAGTGAAGGAGAAATCGCCCTCAAGATCCAGGCCACAAGCCAACTACCATGTTTTAAACTCACAAGTTTTCTTTGTTTGAAACAGGTACGAAGACTATGTCCGAATCAAAGTTTGGAAGCTTGAATTTTTTTAGGTGTCGTGCCCAAATTTTGTTAGCACAAAGGCTGTTTGAGAAGGTTTTTACTTGCTAGGTATTCCCCTATTTGAGAAGATCATTACCTCTCAATAATTTTCCTTATTTGAAAAGGCCATTACCTTCTAGGCATTTTTCCTAGTGGAGAAGAACCGTACCTCCTAGGCATTCTCCCTAGTCGGAAGAGTCTTTAGTTTTCCTTAAGTTCAAGGGTCCCACCTGGAAAATAGGGTCAGTTTTTTTCTTAAGTTGTTAGTCTTTAGTTTTTCTTGAGTTCAGGGGTCCCATCTGGAAAATAGGGTTAGTTTATAGTTCCTTAAGTCGTTAATCTTTAGTTTTCCTTAAGTTCAGGGGTCCCACCTGAAAATAAGGCCAGTTTTTAGTTTTCTTAAGTCGTTAATCTTTAGTTTTCCTTAAGTTCAGGGGTCCCACCTGGAGAATAGGGTCAATTTTAGTTTCCTTAAGTTTTTAACCTTTAGCTTTCCTTGAGTTCAAGGGTCCCTCTTGGAAAATAGGGTCAGTTTTTAGTTCTTTTTAGCTTTCCTTAAGTTCGTGTAACGACCCAACTGGTCATTTTAAACATTTGC